CTCTCTCTCTCTCTCTCTCTCTCTCTCTCTCTCTCTTCTCCTCCTGTTACATCGAATAATAAATTCCATGCGGCGCGTACGCCTAGGGCAGGCTCGTTTTTCAGTCACCGTGGAAATCTTGGAGGCAAGTTGGCCGCCACGGGAGGCGGGCGAACGCTTGACGACCTGCCCCGGCCCCGGGCTTCTCTTATTCACCTCACGGACGCGGCCCCGCGGTGGAATAGCAAATGCGCGCGGGTGCATAAGGTCCCTGAGAAATGCGTGGAAAGCGCGCGGAATGCATCGACACGCGGCGGCGACGACCGTCCATCTATCCCGCCTAGCCCCTTTCTGCCACGCACGTGCGCCCACCGATACTTTTTAAGAGGGACGAGAAAACCGCTGCCGCGTTGCTGCGCGTCTAAACTCGCGCCGCGTGGAAACACGCGCAACCCCATCGCCGCCGTCACGATTGTTTTTTTCCTCGAACAGCCTCTATCGATATATTTCGATCGCTCGAATCGAGGAATCGTTTTAGGGGAATTTCGTTTCTCGATTCTCGATGGATTTAAGGAACAGATCGATTTGACGTTGTTTGACGTTGTTCGACATCGTTCGAGATCGTCCACGATAAGGGTGAACGATAATGGGTTTGAAAGTTGGATGGAATTGGATCGCTTGGAAGGGAATGTTTGAGATCGTTTGAGATCGTTTGAGCAAGTTTGAACTCCTCGACGATCAAGATTAATGGTGAGAATGAAAGTTGGATGGAAGAGGATCGCTCGAAAGGCGATGTTTGAGATCGTTTGAGATCGTTTGAGAACTCGATCGATGGTCAAAAAATTAATGATGAATACGGAAATTGGATGGACGAGGATCGCAAAAAGCGTTGAGCACCACTGCGCCGTACACAGAGCGCAAATCCTCCGAGCGAGCAACAATTCCCATTTTCGACTCGTCACGCATTCGATTCGAAAAGTCGAAAAGACAAGATTCATGGAAATATTCACCTCGACTCCTCCTCTTCCTCCTCCTCCTCCTCCTCGACGGAGGAACGAGAATCGCGCATCGAAGCACCGTTACCCGATCATTCAAACACGAATCTAGATGTTAGAAACGCGTCGACGCCATTTCCCAGGTTAAACTCCGTTGTCCTTAATACTCGGCAGAGCGCGTTTTTCGCGCAAGAGAAAAATTTCAAATCACGTCCCCTGGTTGTCTCGCGTACAGAAATGTGTGGCGGCCGGGCGAAGAGAGAGAGAGAGAGAGAGAGAGCCGGGTCTCTCAACTGTGGGAGAGTACTGGGCTGCGCGGTTACGGTGCATCCTGCATAAACCCGATCAAGTATGCCGAGTGTGAAGGAGGGCCGCACAGGCCACGTATATCGTGACATGCGTATGTACACCTAGGCGCGGCAGTTTACCTCGTTCACGCCGCCGATTTCTCGCGATGCTATTCGAGCGGAGCGCACAGTGCGTATTTCTTGAAAATTTTCCACTTCTCTGATTATACATATCCTATCGAATCTCGACTCGGAAAAAATCGAAAGATACGAAAATCGGTTATCAATCCTGGTTACAGAATGAACCGAATAAACCGTTGGACTTGGAAGAATAGGTCGAATAGTGAGTTTATTTTTGACGATCGCCGTAAATAATTAACTTTAACAACAAAGTTGAAAAAAATCGTGAAAAATCGTGTCTGAACGAAAAAGATCGAAACATCGAAACACGCGGAAGATAATCGAGAATTGGAAATATTCGTCGAGAATGGCCGGTGGAATTCTTCTCGCCGAGCACGACGAGTCAGGTATTGAATAAAAGCCGTAAGTTTTCCCCGTGTAAATAAATCTCGGGGAGGCGGTTCATTTTTATGCCTATCTCCTTCCGTACCACGTTCACGTACCGGTCGTATTCGATCGGCCCGTCCTCTGTCCCGTCCACGGGACACGGAGCAATCGAATTCGTCTCACTTCGAGAGCCCCTCGTTACATTAGACACGGTGAAATTGAACGTAAATACCGTGAACGGGGGAGGGGGCTTCTCCCCGCGCGATTATCCCGAAAACGGGACGACCCTCCTCCTCGAATTCTTTCCCTCTTTGAAATTCGAGGGGGATTCGAAACAATCGTTTCGCGTCGGCCGAAAACCGATTTTCTCCACAATTTTCTCTCGGCAGCGAGCAGGAGAGGATAATAAAAATAAGAAGGATATTCGAAGGTTTTCCAGTCAGAAGAATTTCGAAACAAGACATCGAAACTAGAATCGAACGAATCCCACCAAGATTTCGAATAACTCTTTCGTAAGTATAATCGAAAAAAAAATTAATCCCTCCCAAGGATCGATCCATCATCCATCTCGATATCCATTAAAAAAAAAAGAAAAAAGAAAAAAAAAAAAGAATCCTCCCTCCTCGTTCCATAATTTTCCAAGATTCCAAGCTCCGCCGCCGCTTCCCCCCCCTAAAAAAAAAATCCCCTCTCACTCTTGAAACGAGCGACACGACACGCAGCGAGGCAAATTTTTCCAGGAGTGGCTCCTTCCTCCTTGTCGCGACGCGACAATAACAGCCTTGAAAGATATCCATCGAGGGGAGGGGAAGAGGGAGGGAAAAGAAAGATTCCGGGATTCACAAAAGCGGCAGCTATTTCGGGACGCGCACACACGCAAACACAAACATCCCCGGGAATGCGACATCGGAACGGAAGTGGCGTGCAAGAAGAAGTGGCTTGGAGAGAAAAAAAAAAAAAAAAAAAGAAAGAAAGAAAAAAAAGGGGCCACCATCCGCCCGCCCCACCGCACATCCAACAGCAGCCCGGAGGTAATCCCGAGGAAGTAAGGAGAGGAGGAAGAGGGAGGAGGCTCAATCGCAATATCAACGGTGAAACAAAGCAGCCTCCTTCCGGGGGGGGGGGAGAAGGGGAGGGTGGTTTGGAAGACGGTGGCGGAATCGAGAGGAAGAAAGTTGGTCCCAAACGGCGAGTTGTTGGAACGCGAAAGAGAGGCATCGATGCATCCCGCCCGCCCGCCTTTCTATTTCCGTTTCACGTCTCGCTGCGGGTCCTTCCTTCCATCCGCGTGTAGGACGACGAAGCGGAAACAGGTTGCCGCTTCTTCCGGAACGACGCGCCTCTCGGGAAGG